GAATTTCTAATCGCAATTACAATTACGGATGCCACAATTACATAATCGTTCAAAGCAGCAATTAATCGCTCAAAGTCCACTTATGTTATTCTGCATGCTTAAGATGCTTTTTTTTCTACATGTTATCATAAGGGTTTTTCCATTGTTTTAATTTTAGTTTTAGTATAACATTATAATACCATGCATATTTTTACCTTTTTATTTAAAGAGATACCAATCCTATGTATAGTTGACATTTGAGGCTTAATACTATAGAAAAGCAATAAAAGTTTTTCAGTTAGAGTTTTCAGCTTGTTTATTTTCATATAAAAATATGGCATGCAGTTGCTTCAAACAAAGGTGTAAACATCATTCATTTAATCGCAAATTAATAATTGCAATTACAATTTCAAAGGAATAATCGACAATTATGATTTTTGTCATAATTGTGCAGCCCTAGCTCAGAGTGTAACAGTCAGGTTTTTAAATGTCTATCTTGCTATTTTAGTTATTTTAATAAATCAACTTAACCTAAATGAAAAATTTAAATATAGACTGCTCTCTAAAAGTCACTAGTATCAGTATAATTTACATACATTTTACTGGTTGGATTGCTGATCATGTTAATCAAGGCATCTTTTATATTTAGCTAGCAGTCAGTCTTCTTTACCCTTGTGGTATTCATACTGCAAGTACAAAAATAACTTGTACTTCTTTGTGTACTTAAAGTACAGATACCACAATGGCGAAGAACGTTGATTCTAACGCCAGCTAAAGAACTGCTGAATGCATATGAATTAAATATAAATGATGCCTGGGTTAACATGTCCAGCAATAATCAAATCAATGAAACAGGCAATTTCGTAACACATTTTTCATGATAAAAATGCAGACCTTTTTCTATGCAGGATATGTGCAAATGACTTCCATTTCACATAGATTGCACTGATTTGCAAGTGTGATATTGCTTAAGCATCCCATTTGTAATAGAAAATGTGTTTTGTTATTAAACATGAGAAGTTCTTCACATCCTTCACATTCAAACCAAAGCTATTTAAAATAAGCAATCTGTTTATCTACCGTATCGTTGAATGCACTCATTATTCATTATCTTTTATCTATTGAATAATGAAAAAGCTAGTCATCCATCAGAAAGCGCCTTCAGTTTTGGTTTGGGCTGTGAGCTCAATTGTGAAAAAGTTTTCCTTAGCGGGTATTACAAAATTACACATTTTACTAACAAATTGTATTCTGGCCCAGTGCGAATCATCTAGAACACTTTAGACAAATTAAACCAAAGTTACATTGCTGCGAAAAGAGTAATTTTGAAGTCACTGCAGCTCATTCCAGGTGACAGATATATTTCACTTCTTGCCACTGCCCTCATTGCGTCTACGTTCTCCACGCGTTGTGTTCAGCTTGGCACTCATTTCCCACAAGCATCTGTTGTGCTGTGCAGTTGTACTCTCTCTAATGTTAGCAGCCTGCCTCAAGAAACATCCTGCCTTTATTAATATATCAGCATAGAGGAGAAATGGGCCTGCTCCTCAAACAGATGCAATAGCACAGGGATGAGGCGTTCTACCAAAAAAACAAAAAACAAACCCAAGACATGCACACAGGACTTCGGCTCTTTGTACATTACATCAGTGTTTTCATGGCTGCCTCCCCTCGGAGCAAAGATTGACTTGAAATTGAATATTAAGCTGTTGGATGAACATGTTTAATGTTCTCACAAAATGAAAGGATCACCCATTATGAGTTTCAAAACCAATGGCTCACATTAGATCTACGGAGAGACACGGTGCATGAGAGCAAAACAAATATGTTTGTCTGCAAATTAATTACAAAAATTGCCAAATGTTGCTTCTGTGGGGCTAGGTCGGAAGAGACTGTTGGTGCAGCCTGCCAACGGTTGCGTTTTGTAATTTAAAAAATGTTCTTATTTGGATTATAATGTCACATCACGCTGAGACTCACGCTCAGAAAATTAGCCCAATAATTCATAAAGTGTGACTCGCTTGTGTTGCCCTTGTTTGAGGTAAACACGACGAGAGACATCAATGACACCGTGCTTTAATCTTTCTGCTGATTAATTCCAAAATCACCTGAAAAAAAAACCTCCCCTTTTGCGGTTTCAAAATAGCTGATGCAAAATAATGAGTCTGGGCTTAATTAGCAAGAGCTACTTTCACAGGAGATAAACAAGTAAATGATTAAATCTGTTGATGGTCTCGTTGGATAGAGAGGCTGCCGCATCCGACTCCACCGATCTCTGTTGCCATGGAGACAGCCGGTGACTCTGCCAGTTTCTCTCCATTCAGCACGTTCGTTGGATCGTTTCAGGCGATGGCTTTGGATACCTGGCTGCGGCGCTCTGTGAGCTTTTTGCTAAAAACAGAAGGTGTGAGATGCACTAGATCGATCGCACGGTTACGGGCAGATACTCTCTGATCAAATGACAGGGTGACATTCAGATTTTATTCAGAAACCGTTTTTCTTCTCAAGACCTCAAGCAAAACAGACAAAAATACAGAGCTGGGCTGAGATTATAGAACAGCAGTTATTGGAAAAAAAGCTTCTGCATTACCATGTTTTGCATCTTTATTTTCGTCACTCGGTATGTCATATACATGGAATATATGACATACATATAGTTTTGACATCTATTATATATTTTTTTCTTTACAGTAGAGAAACAACATTGAGATGACACACTATTTGGTTTCTAAATTGAAGCTTTTTGTTAAATATTGGCATATAAATCCTCTCCAATACCTCTTTAGATCAACATCCCACCAAAGTCTTTGTTCTCTCGCATCTATTCACATTGTGTCATCAGGAAGTCAGAGTTTTAAATTGGGTTGTCAGTAGTTGTACTTCACAATGCAGTAAAATAGTTCCAAAAGTAAGTGTCTTGCACTAGCGGGGACATTCCAGCCCCATCCACACCGACGTGGAGTTTCCAAAGCAATCTTTGTGTTTATCCAATCAGCTTTTGGGATATGTGAGGCAGGCCACACCTCTAACCCCGTCAGAAAAAGAGCTGTCTTTTTCGCCCCCCACAAATGGGGTTTGTAAACCATCATCCTGCTGTCCTTCCCCGAAAGCAGAGCGTCCCTCCTGTCCTCTGGAAGCCTTAGACAGCAGGCTGGCGGCGTACTGCGTGGTTTTTGGCCCTGATCCCAGTACGGTCATAGAAATGACAGTCTTTGCTCTTCTGGAACTTGTGCCTGATCCCAAGGCTGTTGTGTAGGTAACAAGGCTTTTGTGTTTGATTTGGCCTCTTGACATCAGTGCAGACTCGGAGCAGGTGAGTGTCTGTGGATCCTGCACCGCCACAGAGGAGCTGGCAAGTGATCGGCTGGAATTTGCCATTGACTCCGCCTCAGACTCAGGATTGATTAGGTTGTAGCTGGAAGAACCCCTAACCCCGTTATGAAGCTTGTTCCTGCCCCCCTCCCCAAAATCAGGTCCCTGAACGGAGGGGATAATGGGTACGGAGTGGGCTCGGAAAGAAGGGGGAGGAAAGGTCGTTCCCTGGTCAAGACGAGTGCACGGAACGTCAGTATACCCCATCTTTCCTTTGGAATGGGCGGAGAGCATAATTTGCATATTCAGGTTGCAACGGCTTTGTTGATTGCTGTCTGAGTGAGACTGGCATCTAGAGGACAAGAAACCAAGGGAATTAGTATTTACATCTCATTATCCATTACACTGATTCTGTCTGTTACACTCGAAAGAAATTGCTCGGCCACTGAGAATGTTCTGAAAACAATTTTATAACAAAAAACAATCACAGCAGTGATCAAATTATTTGGAGGTGGTGGGAATTTTGAATCTCAGTGTAATTATGTATAATCTGCAGCTTGGGCTGTGTGTCTGTGGTAGCATAAATGATGCGTTTGTCATAGATTTAAGTAGGGCTGGGTGAGATGGCCAATCACAGCTTTGTTACTTTCAAGTTTAAAGGCAGATCTTTGCTACTACATGAAAATTGTAGAAACCAGACCCTTAACTGGGTTTAAACTATGGTCAGAACATTTCAAACACTTCACGCCTTCATGTTCTAATGAGTGATATTGTTTCAAATCTTGAAAAAGGTTTGTGTTGCCTGACTCTGACCCCTACTGTATCTGCAGCACAGTTTGCAGTGCAGACTACAATATTAATAATGTTACGTTTTTTATCTCTTAGAAATACAAAGTTGACAGTAGCTTGAGTTATGAGGCAGATGTAAATTTGTGTTCTTTTTTTTTAAAAAACAGTAACATCTGTAAAATTGTAACCTCATTTTTATATGGTGAAATGTAAATATTCTGACTGTTTGAGTTTTACCTTTAACCATTGGTCTTCCAAAGTAGCATACATTTAGATCACGATAACCACAGTTAAAATCACACACATAGCATCTAAATACAATGGTAAAAATATAACTATATGGTTTCTAGGTATTTGTATGAAAAACAGTATTCTAAATATATATAATATTATTATATATGAGTATAAATATCCCACATTTATGCCACAATACCAATAATTATCATTATCGTTTTATCGCCCAGCCCTAGATTTAAGCCATTCCCATCAAAGCTTGTGTATTCTTCACCCAGACCTATGAGTTTATGAAGACCACGCTACTTCATTTAGCTGTGGTTTTGATCTGCAGGAGGCGACTGCTTATCGAATCCAGCACACCTTGTGGTGACAAACCTAAAAACCTTTTGGTATTTTGCTGGAAGACTGCCGTGGAGTAACATTCAGATCTTGCGGCGTGACCCAAGCGGGTTATCTAGGGTTTGTCAGATGTAGAATCACAGGAAATGTTGTGGGTTTCTCGATGTCGAGGTTCAAACTGGCACAGTTATCACCCTCTTATCTAAACTTTGACATGATGACATTTAAATACAGCTTTGCAAGAGCACCAAATCATTCTTGCTTCTGGTAAAAAAGTGAATATAAAAGCATCAGACACACAAAAATGCTGTTTTGTCACTTCCCAAAAACCCCAACTCATCTAACCACCGAGTTATTGTCTGACATCAAAGACTGTTAAATAACAGGGCTTAAATAATTGAGCCCCATAACACAATGCACGGGTATTAAAAGTGTATTCTAGCTGCAGGTTAATCCGACAGATCGCAGCAAATCAAAACAATATCTAAATATAACCGCACCGATGGCACACGCAGTTTCAATCCATATTTCATCTCTGACAGGTAAATGTGTGTCTTTGCAGAGGTTTTTTTTTTTTCTTAAAACTGACAACATTCTGTGGGGGTCCTGCTGTCATAGTGAGGGGGATAAGCGAGCTCTGTGTGCCCATCTCTCTCTCTCTTTCCCCCCTCTCCTCACTTCTTTTTTTTTCTCCATTAGACTGGAGGGTGTCTCCATGGCAACAAGAGAGAGGTTCGGGGATGGTGTTGGTGTTTTAAAGCTGTTAAGTCTAGAAATAGGTCAGTTCAGCACCAGTCTGTCGCTCTCTGGGCCATCCAAGACTGGCCTGAGAAAGGTTGAGAGCAGCTTATCAATGTTTAATTAATTGTGAACAACAATAACAATTGCTGGACCCCTATGGGTAACCTATTGGTTGTGCTTTCAGACATGAGCTTAAAGGGTTAGTTCACACAAAAATGAAAATTCTGTCATTAATTACTCACCCTCATGTCGTTTCAAACCCGTAAGACCTTCGTTCATCTTCGGAACACAAATTAATATATTTTTGATGGAATCTAAAAGAGCTGTCTGACCCTGCATAGACAGCAACTCAACTGAAATGTTCCCAAGTCCAAGTTCCCAAGTTGTTTGCGCTTTGATTTGAATGAAAACAACATATCCGGGTGACACAGCTGACACAGAATAGCATTGTAGCATTTGGACCAATCAGACACACAACTTTTTGTTATATTTAACAAATAATATCTAACTCCCCCTCACCTAACCAAATGGCCAATTACGAGGGTCTATGGACCCTTCCCCCGAAATGCACCTAACACCTCAGAAAGGCAGAACAGGCCTCTGGTTCCATGGTAACCAATGCTGATATCACTGGTTTTATGGCCTAAAAGGAATGCAGGGGATAAACTCCCTCATTTTCCTCATAAGAAAGACACATAATGCCCAGAGAAATGGACTGTTCTCTAATTAATTCATAGGAAAACCTTTCTTTGATTGAATACACATATCCTAAGTCGGGGTTTTTTTCTTTTGCGCACAAAAAGTATTCTCGTAGATTTGCATAGTTGCGGATGAACCACTGATGTCGCATGGATTATTTTACAGATCTCCCTGCTACTTTCTGGACTTGGGAACATTTCAGTTGCGTTGCTGTCTATGCAGGGTCAGACAGCTCTCAGATTCCATCAAAAATATCTTAATTTGTGTTCCGAAGATGAACGAAGGTCTTACAGGCTTGAAACGACATGAGGGTGAGAAATTAATGACAGAATTTTCATTTTTGGGTGAACTAATCCTTTACATTTATTAAGCAAAAGTCAAGCTAACCCAGCAGACTTTACAAAAAAAAAACAAAAAACACAGAGAGCCCTGCTGCTGACACACTGGGAAAAAGAAAGAAAAAAAAACCCTTCTCTAAGCGTGCTAGTACGTATGTGCTTGATCACAGCTCTTAAATGATTCTCCAAGCTCAAAGCTGCACTGTTTAAGAATGTAAATTATGGAAATAGGTCAAATAGAGAGAGTTTGGCAGAGAGTGGAGTTTACAAGTCACTGTGAAGCTGGATCAAGTTGGCATGGTAATGAGAACATTGCTTGGAAATTCAAGAGTAACTTGCACACATACACCCTACTTAACTGAAGGACATTATTCCTGCCATGGGCCCTGTCAATGAAATTCAGTTTCACTCTCTGACTATATATTGTATGTTCCTTAGAAAAAACACATTCGAGTCTGGATCTGTTTCTAGACCAGCTCTATACAGAATAATTCCACAGTTATGGTCTTATCCTTAACATGTTTTTTTTTCCAATTATGGGCACTTTTGGTCCTGTGACCCTGACTTTATTTGTCTACTAACAATGTCAAATAGTGTTTATGCACTACCTTTCCTGCCAAGGATGCATTGTCTTGATAAAAATACAGAAAAAAAACTGTAATATTGTGATATATTATTTCAATTTAAAATAATTGTTTTCTATTTTAAAATGTATTAAAATGTAATTTATTCTTGTAATGGCCAAGTGTCAAAGTGTCAGATGATCCTTTAGAAAACATTCGACTATGCTAATTTCGTTGTGTGACTTAAAGGCACAATATGTCATTTTCGCCACTAGAGGGCGCGTATTCAAAACAAAAAAAGAGACAAAGGCGTAGTTTGATGATGCCGTGACTGAGTGTGGAATCATGGGAGTTGTCGTCTTCATCCCCACAGCCGATGCAATCCGACGGGACTCAGGCAGAAATCATGATCATGGATGAGCTAATGATTTATTAACATAGTAGAATGAAGCAGGGTGAGGCTGAAAGCGAAACGAGGCCGATGAACGAGCGTGACACACGGCTGTTTTATCAAACTAGATACATTTGAAAGTTCTGTTATAATGCTACTCTGTTCGGTCGTCACCGGTCTATTAAAACATACAACATATTAAAGCGTCTTTGGTGTTTCCATGTTTTCTACAAAACAAAACCGGAAATCGAGGGGTTATGACGTCATTGGCAGGCGACACAATGACCCTATGGACACGGTCCGTGTCTCTAGTTAAAATTCTTATTTCTTATTGCCTTTAATATATTTGTGGAAACCATGATCATTTTTAAGGGTTCAATGATAAAGAGAAAGCTGAAAATCTTAGAAATATTTTGTAACATTTTGTAACAAAAAAAAATCAACCCCTGGGACACAGAAGTACCACAAACATCTGAAGTGTCTGAGAAGTTTGTTTGTCACATTTTGCATTTTATTGCTCACCTTCTCAAAGATTGTGGCATCACCTCATTCACCTCCACTTCCTGGAGATGTTTATAGGACTGAAGAGAATCTCGAGATTCTCCACTGAGATGATGGCCTGCTCTAGAGATTTGTGGTGTCCACTTTGAGACGGCTCGATAATTGGTTACCTTGTGTTTTAGGGCAGGGCTTGAGGAGAACGAGCAGCTTCTGTAGAAACAGAAAAAAGCTTCTGTGGAGACAGATCATATATATTTCAAACATTTCATATGAGACAGCCTTAGATTAGCACATGGCTCTAATGATAATTATGATAATTAATTCAGGCCTGGTTGTTGTAAATAACTATTGTGAAAAACTGATTCCACCATAATTCGGAAATGTAAATTTTCATGGTTGCTACCAGTTACAATTCTTATAATTTACCAGTTACAGTTATTATAATTCTTTTAAGTGGTTCATTTTTGAGGTGCCATATTGAGAGCTGATTACATTTCTTTCTCTTCTGTGGAGAGGGACGGAGTGTCAGAAGTTTTACAATAGATGTGAAGCTCTGTGAAAGTACCTGCAGCGCTTCCCCATCGAGAGACTGCGAATATGATTTGGTAGGGAAACTTTAGAGCTGCTGAGAACGATGCTGTCTGCCTGCGGAGAGGAGAAACCATGGGCTCTTCTGCTCTGTTGAGACGAACAGAAAATAAAAGATATTATTGCAGGCGAACCAAACTATATAGAGGATGAGCACATTGATTATCATTTCTATGCATGTATGTCATTTCAAAACATGTGGGAATGTTTCATGGGTGTTCACAAATTGTAAGTGAGAAAGTTATGAAGTCATGAAATGGTAGCAGCTCAGCTTATGGATATTAATTAGGATATGGAAATTCTATTTCAAGTTCACTCTTTCTAAGTGTTCACATGCCTAATTAATTCTGTGACAACTTCATTCCTATATCTGCTACTGTCAGGTCACAGCAAAAGCAAATGAGGCCTGAATACGACTTGTTGGTCCAGTAAGATTTAAAAAAATAATAATAATTCGGGGTCCGTCCGTCCTGTCATTTGTGACCCTGGACCACAAAACCAGTCTTAAGTCACACGGGTATATTTGTAGCAATAGCCAACAATACATTAAATGGGTCAAAATTATCGATTTTTCATTCATGCCAAAAATTATTAGGACATTAAATAAAGATCATGTTACATGAAGATATTTTGTACATTTCCTACTGTAAATATATAAAAACTTAATTTTTGATTAGTAATATGCATTGCTAAGGACTTCATTTGGACAACTTTAAAGATGATTTTCTCAATATTTAGATTTGTATGCACCTTTAGATTCCAGATTTTCAAATAGTTGTATCTCGGCCAAATATTTTCCTAACAAACCATACATCAATGGAAAGTTTATTTATTCAGCTTTCAGATGATGTATAAATGTCAAATTTTAAAAAATCGACCCTTATGACTGGTTTTGTGGTCCAGGGTCACATAAAACTTATTTTACTTAATCCAAATTGCAGCTGAACTGCAGGGGATGTAAACTATACCTTTCAAAAGTCTGGGGTCAGTACGATTTCTTAAATGAAATAAGCTTTTTATGCTCATCAAGGCTGCATTTTTTTAATTAAACATACAGTAAAAACAATAACAACAATAAATAATAAAATAATAAAAACAATAGTATTATTAAATAATTACAATATTATACCATGTGAAATATAATTGCCATTTAAATGCATTTTAATGTTTTAAAGTGTCATTTACTCCTGTTATAGCAAAGCTGAATTTTGTCACATGAGCCTCAGAAATCATTCTAACATGCTAATTTGGTACTCAAGAAAAAATTCTTATTATTATCATGGTTGAAAACAGTTTTGCTAGCTACTTAATACTTTTGTGGAAACCATGATACATGTTTTTTTTTTTTTAGATTCTTTGCTGAAAAGAAAGCTCAAAGGAAAATAATTTACTTGAAATATAAATCTTTTGTAACATTGTTAATGTCTTCACTGTCACATTTGATCAATTTATTGCTTCCTTGCTGAATAAAAATATTCACTCTTCCTTTTACTTTGAATAGTGATGGAAACACATTTGTTTGATTTTGTTTCCTGACTTAACTAGAACGGATAGCGAGCTGTGTGCATCTGGGAGCCATGTGAACACTCTTGCTTTCCGTCAATGATGACAACTGCAACAACCACTCAGCAAAACATTAAAATCTAATTCCAGCGGCGGATTGCCACTCATTATAACACAAACCAACAAAATGAAAACTCTTGTTTAGAAATTAGAGATGCTTCCTCTGTATTACATACATCACTGCTGCAAGCTATTTCATGAAGTGGTGTGGACACAACCAGCTGTAAATGACATGCTTTCTTAGTGTTGCACAGCCACTCATCTCACTTCCCCTCACTTGTACAGACAGATAAATGTAGGAACACACACACAGGCCAAAGATAAAATGAAGGGATCATGAACTCTGAAGAGAGGCCGTATGGAGATGTTCACTCTGTGATATACAGGCCCCTCAGTGAGGGAAAGCCACTTTAATTAGACTTTACATTTAAACTGCAGATTAAGCGAGACACACTCTGATTATTCTGCCTTTCGACTTCCCCAGTCAGGAATTAATCGCAGACAAGATTACATTAATGAATTCCTAAACTATTTTTTTCAGTCCCCTCTTAAAATTAAAGCCATTATCTTACAACAACCCAGCAATCTGAGAGCAGCCTGCAATAAGTATCCCGAGCCCCCCTCCCAGTGTCACCAGAGCTGGAAAAGACAGCCGATAATGCAGTTATTCCAGATAGTGAAATCTCCCTCCCTCTGCTTGTCTTGTGGAACATCATTAAAACGATTGAGTTTGACTTTAAACTAGTTTGGGGCCTTACAGCTGAAAAAGCATGTCCTTCTAACACTGCTGCTTCCTTGGGGACCTGTTAGCATTGTTCTTCTCTCCAACAAGAAAATTGGATGATTTCTGACCACCCTTTCATCGCCTCAGCAGGGTGAGAAAAGAGAAGCAGAACAGCCACTGTAATTGTAAAAAAACTTTCTGAAGAAGGGGTGAAACATGCAAAATCCAAGTGAAGTCTGAACAAAAGATTGGAGCCCCCCTCTCAGCCTTTTCCTAAATTACTTTTATAGTCATCTGCTACTGGCTCAGCAGATTTCGGCGACGATTATATAAGCGGTCCAATTAAAGGTTTGTGTGCATGCTTGGATTAGCAAGGGTGACACTCATCTGATATGCTGCACCCTGTGTCATTTACGCACTATATGCATTTTCATATAAATGACTTGTGCAGGGAAACATAAATGTAAACCGTTGGGAATAATTTAAGCTTGATTCCTCACTCTCATTGGACCTGATGACACACATGGGAACGTGAGCGTCAACATTTGTGTATGGGATGAGAATGAACCGCCAAGTGGCAGCAGAGAGAGATTGATCTTCCGGTTTGGAAAATGTAACTCTATTCATCCAGTTATTCATCAGCTAGGTGGCTGGCTGCCTTTGACTGTTGTATCAGATAGATGCCGTGTTTACTCCCCGAGCTGCATGCAGTGTTATTTCTGTCGGCTTGAGGGATCTTCGGAGCAGGTGGGAAAGCAGTAAAGCCATGGAGGGCATCATTCCTCCCAACTGCCTGCTGGCCAATTGTATTCATTACTGGTGACTGCTATGCACAGGGGACTTTATTTGAATCTCCTTAACAGCACATGTAGGTGGCTTGATTTCCGACTGTACAAGTATATATTTGGTATTCGCACTTATTTTTTGGACAAGCGATCATTATGTGCCTTGTCAGCACAAATGTGGACTTCATGCAGATTTGCTCTCTGGGACATAAACAAACAGCAGCTGCGAGACGTCACCTTCTGAAGCTGGAGGGTGCTCTCGAGTTTGAGGCTGGATTTAGACATGATACCCGAGGCGTTGACGGTACTGTCCCTCAAGTTGCGAATTTCGGTCAGATGGGCTCGATGCTTCTCTCTTTGTCTCCTGCAAAGTGTTAATACATTTTTAAACCACAAAATTTCTGATTTCTGAAAATTTATGTGCATCTTGAGACAAAACAACAGAACTGACATATTTTAAGAACAGTCGGTGCAAGTTTTTTTCCAGTTAAAACAGCCCAGACTTGCATTTTAGTCCTGGACTAGGCTTAAGCCTTGTCTGAGAAACCAGAGGATTATGTTTGTTGGGAGTTGCATCATGACATTTTAAAACCTAACCTTGCCGTGTCACAAAAATGTTAAAATTATTCATTATTTCATGAGACCTTGACACACGACTGATTTTACAGACTGATTTTCAAAGTAGTAGAAGTAGTATTGTTACAATATTTATTCTCTAAGAAATAATAAAATATTATTCCAAACTACTAAGCAATGTTTTCTTTTCAGGAATTTCAAGAGGCACAAGCCATTATATATACGAATTGCAATGTCAATTCATTTTTAAATGTCTTCTTATATTTTATTATTTATATTACCTTCAGAAAACAAATGCACTCAGAATTGTTGAAACAATGTCATTCCAGCTTCCAAGGATGATTTGAACTCACTTGTTTTTGCAGTAAAGAGCCATGCAAGCCACTCCCAGCAGGCTGATCCCCATGGCTATGCTGAAGATGGACAATATCTGTCTCTGATAGGTTTCTGCACTCTCTGAAAAGACAGACAAGACAGCACACACTCATCTTCAGGCTTTATTCACAGTCATCACTATGCCAATCTTGATTTAACAAAAGAATCTTGTGTAGCTAATTGGCTCTTACATTAAAAAATAAATAAATTCAGTGTCACAATAATGGAAACATTCCCTGTGAGAGAGAATATGAATTTTTAAAGATGATTGGAAAGCGACCGTCTTAAAACTAATCAGCTAGTTCTATCATTTAACTAGCATGCAAACATGTGCACACAATCACATTTGATTAAATGATCAGGGACAGAGAGCAGAGAAACATGCAGGGAGCTGTCAGCTAGACATTCATATGTGTCAGAGGTCAGGCAGGCTTGAAATGCGCTTGAAGAAAGAATCGGCCTAATGATCGGTTGATAGGCCACCAGTTGGGCCCTATTCAATCTGTTTTATTTTTTCCTAAATTCAGTTTTTTCCATTTTTCTGGATTCCATTTTTTTCCATTTTAATTCTTCTAGACTTTTAGAATTTTAGAATTGTAATGGTTTAATTAATTAAATACAATTGTATTCATCAAAAGCATGTCTAATTAATTGAAATCATGAAACTTACAGTATTAAACAGCAATTTATTAAAAGTTGAACAAAAATGGCATTTTATAGGCCTTATGTAATGTTTTATTTTTTTCTCAAATTCAGTATTCCATTAATTTTCTGTATTCCATTTTAATGTTTTCATTAAATATAAATAATCAAAGGCATCTCTAATTATCTGATTTTAGAAAAAAAATACTAATTTTAATTTTTCCAGAAATACTGGAACAAGAAATGTTGTGTATTTAAATTTTTTCTGCTAAATAAATTCTGGTAAAAATTCCTTTAAAAATAATGTTTTAATAATACTTTTTATTAGTAGTAGTAGTACTTTCATTACATTCAAGTAATACTTCTGTCATGGTTTCTTCAAGTTAAATCAAATTTTTATTTTGACGGGTTGTTGTGAAGACCTTTAGGTTTCTGTTTGTATATGATATGACTATAGTTTTACTCAAAAGAAATGGTACAATGCTCATGAAGTGACTATCAGAGCAGTTCTAGAGATTATGTTTGTGTTCATGTACTCGTATATTGAGGCGGCAGAGGCTGAAGACACCGCGAGCATAAACGAAACCACGCATCTGTGCCATTCATTTATACAGAGATGCGCAGAACATGCAGGATTCATATTTAAATTGTATTTTTGTGACTTAATATTCACAGACACTGGTCTATATCGTGTTTTGATTTAAGTGTAGTGACCTTTTGCTGTATCCATCCAAAATGTGTCAAATTCTGTGACATTCCACGTTATACAGTAAATTATGTTATGTTTTTATGACTGGATTCCGTGATTCTGTCCGCGCTTTCCACATCACGGAAATCATAGGGCCCTGCACAAGCACTACTGAACTGAAATTTGGATTGGAATGACAGGAAGAGGAATGTCACCTCGAAAAAAAATAAAATAATAAATAACATGCAGGGAAATTAAGTGTTCTTCTATTTGCATTTTGTCTTGACCTTGCTTTTCTGGTTATAAATGAAACTTTAATTTATTGGAATTTATAAAGCATTCTCAATTCATATCTAAATGATCATAATTAGCACTCATCTGGGAGAAGTTCCACTAGATGTCTGAACACGGATGCTGAGATTTGCTGTGGGACTCATATCCTGCCGCTCAATTGATTGTAAAGGTGTTCAAAGGAATGCAGGTCGGAGCTTTGTTCGTCACCAGAATCAGTAAATAACCTATATGGATCTGTCTTTTTGCCCATCCAAAACTGTAGCGTCATGTGTCTGTGGAAAACCAAGAACAGCTAGTGGCACAGCAGGGACCAAAAGACCGGTCCTCACAGGACACTGAGCTCTGGTTTGGTGGAGAGTCTCTGCGAGCAGATGGCTAGACTCCCTCACAAACAAGACTGAAATGCCTCTCTCATGCCACAAATGCACAGAGCTGACCATTCATGCACACGTGCACTCAACACCCCCCTCCCGTCTCTCTTTCTCATGGAAAACTCTCCGTAATGGCCACAACTGGATTCGCTCACCATCCAGATTAAAATCACTGAGGCAGTCATTTCCGAGAAGCAGAAATGCATATCAGTTCCACTTTAACCTTATCTCTCCTTCTCTGACAGTTTTTGAGGAAATCTTGAGGCGAGCGTGTGAAGCACGACTAATGGAAAACTTCACAGGATTCACTCGTTCACTTAAAGAAATGCTTTCAGTTGTCAGGCACATGAGAGAGGACAGTAAGGCAGGGTGTGTGGATACAGAAAGGGAGAAAGCTTGTAGCAAATCCATTTTCACAGCAGTTTCTGGGCTCCTGTTTGTTGACACTGCTTTAAGTCTGTGGTTTGTCAGGGTAAAGGTATCTATTTAGCCCTGGGCTGTGTGATTTTTCTCATCCCCAGAGACTTGCTATGTAACATGCAACCTCAGCAAGGTGCACACCTCTGGGCTTCGCAGTAATTAACAGCGACATACATAGCATCATGCACAGACGAGTGCAAGCAGACACACATGTATGCGCACAAGCCACACAGACCGCATCGCCCATACAGATGCTGCCCTGTGCCTTTACAATACATTTCTTTTGTTCTTTTTGCTCTTTTTCTCCATGGAAACTCAAGAACATTAGGCTTCTGTGAGGAACAGAGAGCATCATGTGTGTTTGTATACATTAAAGGGGTCATATGATGCTGCTAAAAATAACATTATTTTGTGTATTTGGTGCAATGAAATGTGTTTATGCGGTTTATAGTTCAAAAAACACATTATTTTCCACAGACTGTACATTATTGTTTCTCCTCTATGCCCCGCCTTTCTGAAACGCGTCAATTTTTACAAAGGTCATCGGTCTGAAAAAGCGAGGTGTGCTGTGATTGGCCAGCTATCCAATGCGTTGTGATTGGCCGAATACCTCAAGCGTGTGACCGAAATGTTACGCCCCTCACATACTGTTGATGCCGTGTCCCAGCCGGAGCGACGAGACAAAAACATTAAAACCCATTACAAACGAGGCATTTGTTGCATCCAGTGGGAACATAATTACTGATTATAATGACTTATACTGTCTTTTTACGCGTTGTATTGCATTGCATCGCGGCGCGTAAACATAAAACTCTGTCTGCATTTGTGATCGGAGAAATGACAAACAACAAGTGCTACTCTACTGCCCAAAACTCGCGTTTGAATCATCAGTGGCAAATCCTTTAAATGAAAACTTACTTACGTGAGTCAGAACTGCCGGCATTGTAGTCTAACGTTACTCTCCCAGGATCAGTAAACAGTCTTCCATAAAATGTGCTGCACACATCTGGATATTTGGGTTAAACTGTTCTGGAACAGTGTTGTAAATACAACTTAACCACAGATTTCTAGTTGTGTCCTCTTTTGGAAGGCCAAACAAAGTAGTTTCGCTTTCACAACGAAAAACATGGTGGCCTAGCGTGAGCGGAAGCCGCGGCCTAGCGTGAACTGAGGCCGGGCTAGAGTGAGCAGAGGCGGCGGGGTCGAGAACGGCGCGCCCGGCGGATTCGACGAAGGAGCGGCAACCACATGTGACGACCCCGGGCTGGACT